TGAATTAAAAGTCTAACCTTAAATCTCCTGGTCATAATTTTATGTTACAGCTTTATCCTAACTAATAGTCTATTTCACCTTTGGGCTTCTTTTTATGGCTGCAAATCGAGATATCATGACATAGTATTGATTCATATTGCTTTCTGCCTTTTTAAACCTTCATGATAGATTTTACCAAATTCTGTTCTATGGCTCATTTTCAACTCTTCACAGGCAATCCTAGTTTATTCCAGTGACTCATTAATCACAAGTATATGATGCCTTAGAACTGAGAATGAATTTTTAATCTGAAAAAAAGCTAAACGCTTTTACCTCTCGTTTTATTATTCATACCTTGAAGGAAAATTTAGTCTGGCAAATGGCAGCATATAGATTTTTATATCTTGAAATAAAAAACTAATAAAAATTTAATAAACCTGAACTTCAATTAAATGATTATGTGAACGCGTTTGGTGTAACAGTCAATTTTGTATTACTATTTTAATAGGATGTCTATTATCTATAGGATTTTCATTTATCTTTCAAAAACCTCGCAATATTTTTTTATAAAACCCTCCAATTCTATAAATACATTACATTATGTATAGGCTGAGGCCATTTCGTTATCTCAAAAGTTATAATAAACATCTGCTGAAAACTATTGTTCCTCTTTATGCTCCTAGGTTCTTGCTTATACCCTGTTTAAATCTACTTTTGATATTTCTATCTCAAATTTTCTAATATACTTCTTTACTTTTTTCCTCTGCGTACTTACTCTCTCTAGCAAGACCGTCCGGCTAAGCTAGAGCCTGTCTTAAATGGAACTGGCATGTGTCGCCACCACGACGAATATTCGGATGAGGATGAGAGTGATGACGATGAAGAAGAAGAGCGTACGGATAATAGCGAAACAGGTGGTACTGCTGCTGGCGGTGAGCGGTCGGGTGAATCTACTCGAACTACAAAACGAAGTCGCCGCGGGGGTGGGGGGGGTCGCGTGCTTAATGTTCCGGGGGGCACTACTATCGCACCCCCGCCATCTTTGCTTGAAGACAACGCCACCTCCACTGGAGGTACTGCTGGCTCTGCTTCTACTGGGAGTACAGCTTCAGAGGATTTTGATGCCGAGGCTACTGGAGGGAAATTTGGCATGTAAGGTTATTGTTGTCTGTATGTGTTCTTTCATTTTTCTATAGATTACCCTACTATGCACTGAGCTACATCAAATGCTTTTCTCTTTAGTTGCTAATTGCATGCAACTTCTGCATTTTCCTTAATTCCTATTGAATTTTGAAAATACTGTTTTTCGCTAAGACGAACATTCGATTACTAATTTGAACCACTCCTAAATCAAAATGGGCATGTTCCTACCGAAGGTATGAAAGCCAGGATGGTGTGACATTTTGTATGGTCGCGGTATCCTTGCGTTGTATGGAAGTTGTTTGAGTTGGTTTCGCAACTTGATCATATTAATAGATAGACCTAGAGGAACACACCTTGTCCGGATTCCATAGTATGCATGATCATTTCCAGAGCATGATCGTGGAATTGGTACATTCCCAGACGTTTCGCTAGCATCGTATTCGGCATCATCAGTGAGTATTGCTAATCTCAGCAACCAAGCTAAAACTCGTTAAAGAGACGAGTGAAGTCAATCCCTTAACCAACTTTTTGTCGAGACTGTTATGCTATCACTCCTCGTTTTTCCTGCTCCCTTTATCAATTTCCTACCCTCTAGCCTTGCCCCCGTCCTATCACAACTTCCAACATGCTTAGGAGTTTACTGCATAGCATGCGGCGTCTGCAAACAGAAATACATTGACAAAACTGGGAGAAAAATCGGCATACGAATCAAGGAACATCAAAGGTTCTGCAGGAAAATGTATGCTGAAAGATCATATATAGCGGAACACATCGAAGCGACTGGGCACGAGATCATTTGGAAGGCAACAGATAGAAATGCCTCACACACAGAGGGCACAAAGAAACGGAAGATTAGGGAGGCCATTGACATCCTTGGGTAAAAAATCTAATTAACAGGATATTGGAAGTGATAACTTTGCCTATTGCCTAATCAAACTCAGAGAAAACATGGATACAACAAGACAAGCAAAAAGGCGACACATGAATCAAGGATCTATCGTAAACCAGAGGAAGAGAGATCGCAAGAAGGAAAAGGGTGAAGACGTTTTGGAAATGAAGCGAAGACGTTTTCATTGAGAATAGTCAGCTCGAATAGACAACTATAATTTGGAGACCCGACAATTCATGTGATTGAGGCAGGGATTGGGTCACATAAGTCGGGCATTGTGACCAAATGGGCTAATAATCCACTTGAGATACAGCCCGCGACCGGAGATAGATAATCACAGTTTGCTTAGGGTACACGGGCTTAATCGAGGAGATGATGTGTGAAGGTAATGCCTAATCTCCGCAGGCCTGGGATTCAGAGCCTAAGCGCTCTGAAGATAAGGCGACTTTGTACGTGCTTGAGAAATAGCACTTGGAGTAAAAGTAGGCGGGGCTGGAACCGAGTGAAATTGGTCAACCAGAAAGATAAGAAACGGACCTACGGGCTCATAAGGCAGATCCGGAAAGAAGATGAGAGCAGGATCAACCACTCAAAAGGGAGGGGAGCAAGGCAAACAGCAGGCGTGATGACGCTACGGTAAATTTGCCAAAAGGGCGCAGCTTTTGTGGAATATAAACATGTCAGAAGTTGTGATAGGACGAGGGAGAGACTAGAGAGTAGGACATGAATAGAGGGATCAGGACAAAACGAGAACTGATAGCATAACAGTCTT